ATCCATTGCTTTTGAAATATACCATGTATGGATCAGGAACAACCGTATTCACTAGATTGGCGATGAAATTGATCGAGGCAACATGAATAAGAAATAATATTAGTTTCGTAGCCATTGCAGAAAGTTAATTACATTACCAAAATTAGTGCTCAAAATTTACTGGCTTTTATATTCAAAGATCTACACTTATCTACGCCGGAAATTTCCGTTTTAAAGTTGTCACACTAATGTGGTACGTACGTACATGGAAATTTACATGGAAATTACATGGTATAATAAAACATGTACGTACGTATAATTATTGGGAAAAGGCAGTTTTGGCTTTCAATTATATGGAAAATGTATCATCATGATAGATTTTTTCCATAGCACACAAAAAGTCTGAACGGCCTTTTTCCCTTGACAGCAATCATAATATATAGCAGGTTTTCATAAAAATTTAATCTAGATTTATATTGGTTAACTTTGTTACACGAAAATATTATACCAAACAACCATTTTTTAATTATACGATAATTGAGTAGTACAGTAACGGTCTATTTGATTTTATTTACTCCAAGTGCATATTTTATGTCGCGGATCAGAAATCGGATGATACAGAAATCTGAGGGCCTTAATTTAGAAATACCTTACCTATACTCTTTTATTATAAACCCTAACCCTAAATCCTTGTCTAAATCTAAAAAAAAAACCCCTCCTCAAAAAATTTTAAAAATCTTTCATTAAATAGGTTTTAATTTCAGCATCTATACACCTGGACTTAGAGATGTACTTCGCAGAAAATAATGATATCATCTTCGCGTAAATTGCATCATACCTCGCGCGAATTAAATTTTCAAACAATTGGGTGATTCACCTCGCACTTCGCGCGAAGTCATATGAATTGTGGAATGTTTACCTAATGCGAGATCATCTCTAACCTGGAAGTTCCTTATTAATCCACATGATGATGTGGTACTTGCATAGCGATAGAAAATTCCAAATAATAAACAATATTGTATTTTTTTCTTAGATTGTAGAAATTTATCGCTTTACTATAAAACAATCAAATACAATATACAGTCGCACTCTCTAAGTGCATGATACATTTGGTCCCAACATATTAAGAGTTCTATATTTTACCTTCAAACACTTCATAAATACTAGATTTTTTTTTTACTACAGGTTTTGAATGAATATACTTAGAAAAAATGAAGCCAATACTGGATATAAGACTGTTATCCAGTTGCATTATAATGTTATCTAGTTAGGACGATATAGTCTAGAATTTATAATGTTATCTAGTTAGGACGATATAGTCTAGAATTTTATAATGTTATCTAGTTAGGACGATATAGTCTAGAATTTTATAATGTTATCTAGTTAGGGCATTATAGTCTAGAATTTTATAATATTATCTAGTTAGAGCGTTATAGTCTAGAACTTTATAATAGATTATGTCTGTTCCGAGTAGATTATAATCTGTGAAACTGTTCTCAGATATGTGGCCAGTTATTTAGTTTCTCTTTTCTAGGTCGCCCAACTAATTAGGAGAGAAGATGCGCAATTCTACCTTTCTTGGCCTGTTTGGAGACTATCTTAGTTGCCATCTTGGCCAGATTCTATATTGAGGTGCTTACTTTTTTGTGCCTATTCGGTTGAGTAGGTTGTAATATATATATATTACAACCTACTGAGTCATGATAACATTACTATGACCGACCCATTTGATTACCAAAAAGTGCAGCATTGTAGTTCTGCCCTAAGAAAAATATTAAAATTTTTACTGGGTCACTTCCTAAGGCAGAGTTTGTTATAGAAGAAAGTGCTCTTTTTTCGGTTTAACTTGTTTCTGTATTATCTTCTCTAGATGTCTTAGGTGCCCTAGTAAAAAATAAAGTTCTAAAGAAAAAAAAAGAGTTTTTTCGATGGTATCTTTTTGGTATATATATTGATATACTATATATATTCTATATATATGCTATATGTATACTATATTTTCGCTATACCCATAGATAAAAAATAAAAAATAAAAAGTAAAGAAGTCTGATATTTTCTAGGTCATCTAGGGCACCTAGGGCAGAGTGTTTGAGAAACTATTCTAGTGACCCAATAAAGTTAATTTGCTATTTTTCTTCTGTCTTTGAAAGTTAAAAACTTTCTAGGGCAGATTTTTCCTAGAACACTAAGGCAGATTTTTCTAAGGCATTTAGCTTCTTTCTATAATAATATATTTTCGAATGATACTTATCTACATGTAAATTACACATCTCGTGCATCGACGCAGTGGGTTTTCCACACTGTTTGCAAGGGCTTCGCTAACACCTTTTCCAATGGATTTTGCACCCTTCTTGTTGATCACAAACCCGTCCACACATGTTTCCTTTGTTAGAAAGATATTGGCAGATAAATTCACCTCTCATTGGATATCTCTTAAATTTCTATAATTATTTTTATTTAAACTTTTTTCCCAGGGCAATATATTCTGAGTTTAGGATAGTATACCTTTCAAAAGTTATCTAAAAATACCATGACCCAATCCAAGCTTTCAGAGAATTTGGACGGCCCCGCCCTATACTATTGTGGGTTAAGAGCTTCTGATATAGGTGTATGCTTATATAAAATTCATGATGATAGTGTTAGACTAAGGAATTTTCTAGGCACAGACAATGAGGATGGTATCGAAGCCATACTCTCAGACCGTGAAGGCCATTTATTGCATGAATTTATTGGTAGCAATGAGCCACTTCGTCCTATTATAGATTTTGATTTGCCAATAGAAACACTAAATGCTATCACTTCTAAAGTTTCACGTAAAGAAGCCTGTAAAGCTATTCAAATAGCCTTTAGAGATGTTTGTCTGGAAATACATCTGGAGTGGGATAAAAAAAGTATAACTGTCGCTAGTAGTAGTGATGCAAAAAAATATCTCTCCACATCTCTACTACTAGTATAAGGCTTAAGAATATTGCTCAGGTCGCAGTATTCACTGAACTTGTTCGCAAAAAACTCCAGGTAGAATTACAGAAGAAAAGTATTATTGATAATATTGCAAATAAAAGGTCTTTCTCTTTATGGATGCTTGGATCACCCAAGTATAAGGAAGAAACGAAAGAACACATTCGTGTAAAAAAAGCTGTCCATCCAAGAGATAGAACTATCTTTGACTTCATGATCCGCCCACCCGGTGATGAATCAGAAGTCATTGACAGTCCTTTATTATGTATCCCGAAAGTAAAAAGATGCCAAAAGAGAAATAATAATACAGATGGTAAGAGCGCTCAGGCTGAATTTGATTTTGTGGAAACATTACTCAGAGACAATTATATCGAAGGGTTTACTCTCTCATTCTCTTTAGATAATACTCCTAATTTGTTCTCTCTATCACGCAACTCTCCATCACACTGTCTAATATGTGATCAGGAGTATACAAATGAAAATGCATACATCATACAAAATAAAAATCATACAAATTTTATTGTCATCGTGCCAATCAGAATCAGGAACCTAGAACAAGAACTCCTTCAAAAAAACTTACTATTAGTGAAACTGCCTTGGATCGAGAACAAAAGCTTCCAAGTCCTATAAAATTCAGAATTTCAGATCCCAATGATCACTTCGTATGGGGTGACCTAATTGATATGTGCTTATTGGGAGAGAAAGTTTCTCGCAATACTGTATATGAAGCAATCCAAGCAACAATAGCATGTGTCCAGACTGATATAAAATTGTGGGTATTAAAACTTGAGGATTCTGATGGTGGTTTTTTCTTTAAAATGTCACCTAAACTAGATATTGCCAAATATGAAATTAGTTTAGTTGAACTAGGGGAAGAAGTGGTGAAATTGACAAATCTAATAGATCGAGCAGTCACAAAAGGTCTAATTTGATATCGAGGCATTAATTTTCTCCCTTACTCACCACTTTGTTCTACACCGAAAACAAAGTTTTTTAATCTCTTCTTGGGCTTCAAAGCTCCTGTTAATGAGATTGATTCCTCTATTATCGATCCGATTATCTGATATATAGAAAATGTCTGATGTAGTGGGGATAAAGTTCTTTTAGAATATGTTCTCAATTGGTTCTCATATCTTGTACAGTATCCTGAGAAAAAACCTGGTACAGTCTTAGTATTGCACTCCTCTCCACGTTCGGGAAAAAATATTTTAACAGACTTTATAGGAAAGAAAGTATTGGGGCCAGAATTATTCTTCGCAATATCAGATCTTGGAAAAGTATTAGAAAGATTTAATAGCTGTATACAAGCATAAAAACTCATTCTTTTAAATGAAGCTGAGATGGCTTCTGGGGAATGGCATAAGGCAAATGATCACTTAAAATCACTTATTACTAAACCATATGTGACGATAGAGTATAAAGGACTTGAGCCTAAAACAATTAAGGACTTTGCCGGGTATATGGTTTTAAGCAATCATGATGCACCACTTCATGTTGAAATAGGTGATGGACGTATTGTATGTCTAGATGTATCACCTTGCTGTAAAGGAAATATAGAATATTTTAAGCATTTAGAAAAAATTTTAGATAATCCAAAAACACCTAGTATTTTTATTAAAACGAGACATCTCAGATTGGATACCGCAAAATATTCCAAATACAAAAATAAGAGTAGAAACAATGCAGGACCAACTCTCTAATCCCATTCGATTCATTATCAATTATATTTTCTCATGGACTGAAGAAATGATTGATAAACTGAACTGTGCGGAATTATATCTTGAATGGTGTGAAAAAAATGAGAAGAAACTATTTAGCAGTGCTATTCTTGGAAAGAAGTTTTCACAAATCAGTATTAATAGAACACATTTGCAGAATAATGGAAAAAGAGAATACTATTACATTCTTGACCATGCCAAAATCATAGCTAAGCTCCGTAAATCTGGCCTAGGTGATATTGAAGAATTTTCTGATACACTTCAGTCTGACTTACCAGAAAATGAGACAGCAGACATACCTATATTCAATGTGCCAGAAATCACTCTCTCAAAAACAGCCTCATCTCAACAAGCCGAAGCTCCAGTCGCTTCAACATCTGGGACTTCTGAGACTTTTGAACCACCTGAGACAGTAAATAAAAAGCCTGAAGCTAGTAAGTTATCTGAATCTATTGAGCCTATAAGTGAAGTGCTAGATACGTCTTCTAAAAAAACTGATTCTTCCAAGCCTATCAATGAAGTACCATCTGCCATACTTCTGAGCAGGGCCCAGCGCAAAGAGCACTTTAGAAAAAGGGCAATCGAACTTGGTGAAGATCCTGATATATTTGTAACTATTACAGAAAAGGACAGGCTTGACTCCATTGCATTCCAGGATAGAATGAAAACTGACGCTCGGATGTGCAGTTATGCAAAAGAGGAGGAAGAAGACCCTAAATAATATATGGACATGTCAGTGCAGGAAAGATTGATAGGAGAAGAAATAATCCATTGTGACCTTGAAGATAAGGGGACCACATCCTCCTGGCTCGATACCAATGAGGAGTGGCAAAAAAATATAAGCATACTCCAGGAAAGCGATATGCTTTAGTAAAGAGCGAATTATTATTATTTTTTCAAATTAAAAAATAACTAGATTAATATATAATTAGATAACACTTTCTTTTGACATGGCCACTAAAACAGCTTCTCCAAAGACCCGAAAACCTAAAGTTAATAACTTTGTATTGGCCTTAGAGCAGTTCCTAGAAAAGCATAATCTGATGGCCGATTCTATCCCAGAACAATTAAACGAACATGCTCCCAAACTCGATATATTACTTCCTGATTGGATGGCTCGCAGGTGTGTTAAAGTCGCTCTTGCCAGAGGTACTTATAACAGATGCTTATTTAGTGAAGAGCAGATAGAGGCTCTCTTACCAGATAAGAAAAAAGGAACTTACCATAGAGGAAAGGGAAAAATATTGTGCTAAAATCAGTAATGCTATGGACATTTTTACCCATCATTTAGATTTAGGCCCAAAAAATGATTATGAAAATGAAATAGTCACCAGTGGTTCATGCCAGTCGCAATTTCGTGTAAAATTAGCAGAAGGTGGGGTAAGTCCTAAAATTATTAATACCTATGCCAAAGATCCAAAACTTATTCAAGAGTCTAATAAAATTCAAAAAAAACAAACTAAAAAACGAATGGCTAATCCGGATAGAATTCCAATACATTTCTCATCAGCAAGAGTGCTTAAAAGGATTCAGAATATGGATATTTCTAAAATTCCATCTAAAGAAGATCTCGCAGATGTAATTGTGATGTTGAGTATGAGACTTGCAGAAGTAAGATCTCTTCAAATTATTCACTATAAACTAGATCATTTGAATGCTCCAGTATGGTATAAAGAAGGTTATTCTTGGTACTGTACGGGCTATTTAAAAAGTAGAGGAGAGAAGAAAAAAAATCCTGAGCCCCGACTATTTCTTTCCATGGAGAAGAGCCCGGAATGCGCCAGAGAATTACTTACCTGGATCCAAAATGCAATCAAGGCAAAAAAGTTGCGTGATCCTGTCTTTACAGAAAATGAAATACATAATGCCTGGCTATTTAACGAATTCTTAAAACAAGAACCTTATAGAACTATACCTAAAAAATTAAAAGATTATGGAAGTAAACACGCTTCCAGAATTCATGGTGGTAAGAAACCAACTCCCCAACATCTTAAACTGCTTTTGAAAATCGCAATAAGACAAGAATCAGATCGCCTTGATGCAGGTAATAATTACGCTATAGGCAATACAAAATCAGAAGAGTCTGACTCCGAACCAGAGACAAGCGACAGTTCAAAACCTCAAATACAGGCTTCTTCATCATCTCAAACAATAGAAATGGATTCAATGTTAGCTGAAATTGATACAATGTTAGCTGAAATTCAGAATTAAATACAGAAGGGTTGGGTAGTGAGCACTTGTTTAGAGAATTTTCATTGGGCCCTCATGAACATGAAGCTTAAATTGTCCACTGTTTTCCTAATTCTATTTCCCTTTTTTCTCGCAAGCTCGAAAAAAGATATATGGTTAACTGTTTCAGAAACTAAAAATCTGTTAACTAACTATATCTGGCTTCGAGCAAGAATTGCGAGAAGGCAGGATCACAATTGAGAGATATATTTTTATATTAATATTTTTTTTTTTTTTATAAATTGGCAGTGTCGAAGTGAAATAAAAATCCCGCTTTCTCGTGATTAAATCACTCAAATCCAGATATATTGGTAATCCGGATATATCGGTAACCCAGATCTTTTTTCGAGCTTGCGAAGCCTTAGTCAATAAAATCCACATGTTAAACATGTCCAATATTCAAGAATGGAGAAAAAATAGTTATGCCCGATACATGTTGACCGAATATGGTTTAAACTATATTAATAATTTAAAAACACCAGAAGCTTGGTTACAATTTCGCATTGTTTATTAAATCAAACCCGAGTTCATCGTATTCGAAAAGATTTAAACCTTTTATAGGATGAGCTAAAGCATCCAATAATGTGTTGTGTTCTAATACTCCAAATGAATTAGATCTAGAAAATGCGACAAATAATCCATTTTTTGCTTGCTTAGATAAATTAGGAAGGCGCATAGTAAATAGCCTAAGAAGGATAAAACATTGACGAGCTTCCTGGGCTTGATAAAGTTTTTTCAAAGCATCTTCACCAAAACGTCTTTGATAATCCCATCCGGTATATGTTTTTCTAAGGTCCCAGCCCCAATAATTGTCCTGATTGTCATCACTATCTTCATCATTACTATCTTCTTCGTCGATATCAGATTCGCTATTGCATTATCATTCATGTTGACGGGTATGACTTCATTATCTAATAATCCCAAAGCCTTCAAGAATTTGTGTACCTCAATCTTATTACCAGTACTAATGTCAGAATAAGTTTGTTCCATAACGATAATATACCAAAATACCTTATCCCCCACCTTCTCATGATAAAATCACTCAAAGCCAGATATAGAAAGTTATCAGTACTAGATAACAGTCTTTTAAGTTTAAATATATTTTTTTCGAGCTTGCAAGAAAAAAGGAGTTATTTAGCTTCTCTTGTCCCGCAGATGAGGTCATGTGATTTAACTACCTGTGTTATATAGCAGGTTATGTATTTTTACAAATCTATGAGAAATAGATCAATGAATAATTAATCCACCAACTTTTTTTCAGAATGTTCTGGCATATTACACCTATTATGAATCTTTAAATTAGTATTACACAAGTCAATCTGATGTCTCTGATGTTAGAATGGGACAAGAATGGAAATTACACCAGCGATTTACAGATCTGATTCTACGAAATGTAACGGGCACTATAGCATCATCCATTCTACATAATAAAATTCTATTACGGATCATTGGTAGATTTGTATAGAGTATGAATTGGGGTTTAAAATGACATAGTTATACAAAAAAAAATGCGTGCGATCTTCCAGATCTTGTATGATCTTAGCAATAAATAGTATATTTCTCGGTGATAACTTCATCTTTATTACTGTATATTAATTTGGTATAAAACCCTAACTGGTAATCGTCAGATTTTCTTTAAAGCACTATTGTTAAATGTGCCCAAATTCGGTGAACAAAACGCCAAATCCGAAATTAGTATCTAATTTTTTTAGTCGTGGAGGATACACTATAAAATAAGCTAAGTATAATAAAAGTTTGTTGTAAGAAACTTATCTGTACTTGCTTTTCCGATATCATCATGTCCCTTGTTAATCTCCAAAACTTTGCTCTAAAAGAAATAAAACATGATGCGGTACAAAATATCGAAGTTACAGAATTGCCACCATGTAAAATATGTAATAAAAAAATTTTAACAGTTAACTTTGAAGCATTTACAATACTTCCATGCAGTTATGCATATCATAGAAAATGTATTGAAAAAAATTTTTTACTTATGGAAGAGAACAAATGCCCTATTCCTAATTGCAACAAAATTGTTGATCCAGTAATATTTGAACAAAGGTTTTCTGAATCATCTCAGTCTAGTGGAACTTCGGCTATTGCAGATATGTTAGGCAATAATCTTGGGTTAAATTCACCAATGAATGTATCATCATTATTACCCTTATTTAATAAGACTACCCAGAAAAAACGTACTAGGGAATCACCTGCATCTACTGAAAAAATGTCTAGCAAGAAGGTGAAAAAAACTGGCGGGAAGAAGGTATTGTCTATGTTAAAAAAACTTATCAAAGAATTATTAGCTGATACACCTGTTCCCACTATTGGAAAGAACTTGGAAAAAGCAAATGAAAGCGCAACCAGTATTTTTTTGCAACTCTCCGATAAGATTAATAATGCCGAAACTAAAAACGAAGATGTATCTCAAAGTCTTATTTTCAGCTATTTTGATTTTGAAGAGGCTGTATTTAAATGATATAAAGAATTAAAACCCGAACATGATAAGGATGGATCTCAAGCATTAGTTAAGAGTGAGGTTAGAGAGGTGATTCCTGAGGCAAAATGTTCTGACAAAGCTTTGCGGAAAAGGATAGAGAGATCTGAAAAGGTTTATAAGCTTTTTAATAGTATAGGCAAAGAAAAAATATCACGAATAAAATCCACCCCTCCAGGTTTTATCTTAAATCTAACTAAGGATGAAAAGGATTATATAATGGCCGAAATCTTAAAACGAAAGGTTTGTTAATATACTGCGCCATTTCTTCTGCGCAATTAAGTCGAGCCTGGACACTGTGTCTAGACTCTACTATCAGAAAAAACAGAATTTCGTTCATGTGTATTCTCAAATATATAATAAAGCATTTGCATATCCCGCCCATATCGGGCTTGATTTTTTAAATGTATATAACTGATTGCCAAACATCATGGAAAATAATTTGCCGAGCCAGGACACCGTGTCCAGACTCTACCATCAGATAGTCATATGTACAATGACTTACGAAGTGCCTTAACAGTATAGTTGTTAGACGAAACCTTTTTTGCTTGGTGATGAAAGACGAAACCTAAGCCCCCAAATGACAAAACCACTGACAAAAGACGAAACCTCAAATTCTGCTAATGAAACCCAAATTCAAAATGACGAAACCCCTAATGCTCCTGCTAAAAAAAACTTAATGCTTCCACTAAAAAAAAAAAACTTAATGCTCCCGCTAAAAAAAAAAAAAAAAAACTTAATGCTCCCGCTAAAAAAAAAAAAAAAAAAAAAAAAAAAACAGATTGCTAAAACTTTATGATAATAGTGAATCCCTACTTCTCTTGCTAAAAAATTACTACTAAAAATCTGAGAAAATTTGTTTTTAATGAAGCTATTAATAAAAATAATAAATTTATCATAATTTCAAATATTTAACCTATCGATAAATCATTAATGAGGCTTTTTATTTATATTTCAGTATTTAATACTTAAGGTGTTTATTGACTTGTACGTATATTTAGGTTTTAAAAAGCCAATTACAATAATTATGAATAGGTAAATAAGCAACTAGCATCTTAATTTATTATTTTAATGCTGAAGATGTATATTTAAGTTTTAAAAAGCCAATTACAGAAATTTTAAACAACAAATA